CAACAACAACAACAACAGCAGCAGCAGCAAGGAGAGTGCCAGCGCAGAGGGAATGGCGCGGAAAAGTAATGTGTTGCATTGTTGTTCTGGGCATGGGATTGATAATCTGGGCTACTTGTATTGTCATGATTCATTTATTAGTAAGAGGCCCTGATTGAGAGAGAGAGAGAGAGGGGGGGGGGGGGTTCAACAGGGAAGATAGTTTAGAGGGGCGAGTTTAATATGCAGCTGGCACCGTCGTAAACATGATGAAAGATGTAACCATTTGTGTAAATGCGAAACAACCCAATCCTGATTTTAATCTCATATGTATGGGAATATAAATTCGTTACACCGAAAACCAGAATTATTGTAAGCGTAGCTTTTTTTTGCCTTATGTCACTTTACGGCACACACATACATGCTCACATACTCGACGCAATAATTATAGCCATGATTATGTTCAACAAAATAGGGTTTTCAGGAAAAAAAAACGTTTGGGGGGTATATTATTGACATGAAAATCAAAAGGTTAGAAAAACATCTACTTCCTACTCATAACAAATCAAAAAGCCTAGTGGAACAGATCTTGTGCTGCGGCAGCAGTTGCTTGAGCCTGTGCTTTGGCTGCCTCGTTGGCAGCAGCCATAGCGGCAGAAAGGTCATTGTCTACTTTCTGCTGCGACGAGCTTCCCGGACGAGTCTCGCCGGTACCTTCACGCTCGCCTACTGCGGCTGCGGCGAGGTGCTGAAGGCCGGCCATGTTGGGTTCGAGCTGGGGACTGGCTTGTTCTGGGCCGTTGAAGGGGGGTGTAGAAGCCTTCTTTTGATGGAGTAGATCCCTGATGGCAGTTTCCCAGCCTAGGCCGTCGGAGCTACGATGGATGATCTGGCCGTTAGATAGAGCATCGCTCATTTCTTTGATGCTGGATTGCGCGTCTACTTGAGTCTCGACTCGGTCGGACAATTCGGTGAGCGAGGTCGCTACTAGTGCGGCAAATATGTGGTGCAATGGAGTTATTGCACCGCTCTTCAGGTTGTTGAGAAGCTCTTGGGTAGCATGAAGGACCTCTACAGAAGGAATGTTTTGCAAGGAAAGCCTGGCTATGAACACTCGCAGATACTGATATGCTAGATGAGGAGGTGAGTTTCGCGTCAGGCTGGTTAGATCAATCGATTGCTTGAGTTCATCCAGCAGCGCATTAAGGTACTCTGATTCGGGATTCCCAGGTTTGAGCGCAGAAAAGACAAAGGGGGCTGACGAGTCAACATTCGGTATGCTGCCTGCGCGGTTCACGTACGCTATCCGACCTACGATTTGAGCGGCACCTATTCAAGGTTAGTAGTGTTTGGTCATAAAAGAATAGACTTGTACTAACGAGCAAGGTAGTAGCCGACTTCGCCAAGTGCCGTATAATCATCCTTGGAAAGAGTCCCACTGTATCGTCGAATCATCATATCCTTGGAACGGCTTGACGCGTGAAATCGATCTAGTATCAGGGAAGTCCAGTAGACACGTCGCGCTGTGTGGTAGATCTCAACGTCTTGCTCCTTGATCGTCGTCAGGGTCCGCGCATCATTGATACCGGCGTCGGCAATGGAGGCTGAAATTCTAGCCAGCAATCCTGTTGTGCTTCCAACAATACCCGGACCAGGTCGGTCAGACGCGGCAGCAAGTAAAATCATTGACTGGCAGTATACTAGGTGATTATAAAACTGCCGCGAGCTGTCCGAGTCATGCAAGCAGTAGCTAGCTGCGTCAACAGAAGTAAAGCATTGTTGGAGCAGCTGGTTGAGATTGATCTCGAGAGGTGGTAAGGCCTTTGAAGCGAGTGAACGGATGCAACCTTCCAATGCCATGAAAAAAGTCTCTCGCAACTTGGATGGACAGTTGGTAAGCCGATTCAGTTGCGACTCATGGTGGGGCAAAACTGGCAACGTGGGGTGTATGATGTTATAGTACCTAGGGCATTGTCAGCACAGGCCATTTCAAAGCGCAAGGAGCCCACCTACGCCTTAAGGGTCTCTTCGTTGGAGCCAGTGATCAGACTTCCACCCAAGTTCATATCACCAAACGAGGTGCGGCGATTGCCATTAAGGGATGATTCTTGATCGCCTAGAGCAGGCAAACCGTGCGTATCCATGGGGCCATTGGACCGGTCGGGAGCAGTCCAATTCGGTCGGCTGAAGGCTTCGTGGAAACCCTCGGTCATGGAATGGGTTCGCTGGCGCTTGAACTGGGGCGGGCTCTGTGTGTCTGGGAACGTCTGATCTCCCATGGATCCAAAATCAAACGTATGCGTAGGGTTGGGAGGGTGGTGGATTTGGCTTTCGAGCGAGTTGAGTCGGTCTGCGAGCTCTTTGATGTAACTAGACACTGTCAGCATGCTCACCAACAGACGGAGTGGTGGGCAGCATACCCTTTGCTGGGGCCACGCTTCATAGGCTGTCGGCTAAACTGACATCGTGCTCCTGTCCTCTTGCAACTAGAGCACGCCTCGGGACCATTTTCACTGGTTGCGTCGCATCGAATCTACTCGAGGTAAGCAGCAGCCATGGACGTGCGGGCCGGGAGTGGCGCACCTTCTTTCGACGGCATTCGTCGCAGGCGCGTGAGACCTTTGAACGCTTGCGGGTAGGGTCGTTGGGGTCGAAGTGGTCGTGATGGCCCTCCAAGCTCATGACGTGTTGGGCCATTTGCTGTGGAGAGTGCGTCGGACGGGCCGGGCCCTGAAAGTGCGGATGCGTAGCCATTGCCGGGCCCATGTGCGCCATCTGCTGGTACTGGGGTTGCTGGGGGCCAGGTGGATGCATCATGTCTCCTCCTTCACGCAGCTGTTGCAGATTTTCTTGCAGACGCAGCTCGGGATCCGTCAACTGGTGCTGGGGCGCTGGTGGTGTGCCATTCTGGTTCGCGTATTGGCCTGGCCCTCCGCCCATCTGCGCGTCGGGATCCGCGTAGCCAGCCATGTTTGGAGCGCGTCGTATGGAGAATGGCAATCAGGTGGTGCAGTTGTAGGGTTTTCTGGACACAGCTACTAAAATTGAGTACGCGATCGCGCGCAGGGCGGGTGGATGCTGTTGTCAGTCAAGAGAAACGGACGGTTCAGAAGCGACCGAGGGAAGTTGTGCGAGCTTTGCGATTTTTGCGCTAGCGTGAACCATGGCATGAGGGCAGAGGTTCTGGTTAAACATGTCGAGGGACGGCAACAACATGATTTTGGTGGGTGGAGCATACAAGGACAATTGGCACGTCTTTTGCCCGCTGTGTTGCTCGGAAGCTACTGGCTGGGTTGGTGACGATGTGGTCGCTGTTCGGATTATCTCTTCCACCGTCCGGGACGGCGACTGGAAGCACCAGGCTCGGCCATTGTTTGGAGAAGGGCCAAAAGTTTGGCCCGTCAGCGGATGCTGCCGGCCAAGACTACGATTACTGAGCACATGACTGCATTTGCTAACAAGTCATTTTGATGAGGACTCGGGGGCAATGGCAAGGCTCACGGCGCGCTATTCGCACGGTCATGTGTGCTAGTTAGAGACTTCGCGGCGGACGGAGAGAAGGAGAGAAAGTTTGGCGCAATGGCAATTCAGAACACGAGTTTGAGCAGCCATTGCGGACCGAGTGCAGGTTGGCGATTGAAGCCGGTGTCAAGACGGACGATTGCAGGTGACCGTGCAGAGCAATGGTGTCGAGATAGTTCGGCGTCTAGAGCAGGCGTAGATCGAGGGGGCAGGTGGGTTGAAGGGTGGGCAAGCTAGGGCGGGATAGTACGCACATAGATGCACATGTCAATTAACCACATAGATGGATGAAGACAGTCAGCCAGCCAGCCAGCGAGACCGACAGAGGGAGACGGAGTGCAGCTTGGACCCCAGGCTTTTTTAGAAGAGGACCGTGTCCGGTAAGTAGCGAAGTATGGCAATTGTACTTGGACAGAGGGTTGGGATGGCTACAGGACGTGGCTCTGTTGGCCCTGCCTTTCTCGGAGGCACACAGCAAGGGCAGACGGCTCCGACATGGGCCCAGGGCAAGCACGGCCCACCGGCTGTCTACACCGCACTTACTTAGAATATGTACTACGTATGTGTACTATACATGTGCTCCATGGACGGGCCGTCGACACTGGAGCAAAGCTTCAAAGCGACCGGACGATGGCCTAGTCGATTCGACGCCGAGGCACGAGGGGTGGATGGGTGGGTGCAGGTGCAGGTGCAGGCGCACAGGGAGGCAGTCAGGGTGGCCACGCCCCCCTCCAATTCACCTACTCAAATCCATGCGCCCGTATATAAAGTGTACAATACAGAGATACATTGGGGGTTTTGTTTCATGGAGCGCACAGCCTGTCACGTGCAAGCGGCCGGTTGATGGTAAGTAATTGTGCTAATTAATTCAAGGGCAATTTGCGGCCTCGCGTCCGTGGCAGGGCTGGCTGGCGGCATGGGACAGCCATGGAGATGGGCGCATGCATAGCTGGTGACAGGCAATGTACCTGAGTGAGACGAGGAGAGCGAGGACGTGTAGTATAGTGGATAGAGATAAGTAGGTACAGGTTGGAATCCATGGCAGGCCCTGGGGGGAGACGACGGGGAGCAGCCAATGGCGGGGGAGCCATGAGCGGCAAGGGAAACAGGCTGACTCGACAAGCGAACAGCCTCCGCCGTGAAACAGGCGGTGCGTGGAGTGCCGCATAATTCATTCGACAAGGCGGCCGACGAGGGGCCAGCGCAGCACGAAGGGGGAGGGGGGGGGGACGCGTCGTCAGATGGCCGACCGAGGGGGAGGGACAAGGTCCGGTGCGTTGTGGCGGCCATGGAGCG